AGCGTACAATTCCCTTGAGCTCAATTTGCCCCTGTTTGGGTCATACACCGGCATTGAGACCTCCGTTATTCCTCATTCAATCATGAAGTCTCGTAGTCTTGTTAGTGCCAACATCACGTGTTCGGGATCAATTGTATTCCTGTCATTGACCCTCGTCACTAGGAAGCACAGATATTTGCCCGGGACTTGTGCTACTGATGGTGGAAGCGCTGCCATCCCTCCCAGTCCTGGTCTCTGTCTGAACAGAAACTCCACGTTCTGGTACTCTCTTTTGAAGTCAGCAGCTTCCAATCTTGATTTGAAACTCATGTCCGCCATGACGCAGATCGCGCTAGTCCCGTTTGACAGGATGAAGTCGCTATCCGTTATCATGATGTTTTCCGAGTACTCATTGGGTATTTCGAATTTCGTTTTGAAATTCCGACCTATGGTAGGCTCTGGCTCTTCTTCTTCCAGTTCCAATTCGCTTGTTTCTCTCACTTCCTTGAGCTTCTTTATCATCAAATTTTCGGTGTGGGTAAGTCCTACCCCCACTCCCCGGACAAAAATATTTATCGACGTCCCCGTCGATGTTGTCGGGTCTGAATTGTCCGGAGGAATGTCCAGTGGCCTGTCTGTTGCCGTCTATCCGAAAAGAGGGTCCTCTGTCTTCATATAATTTGCCGATGACACGTCGACTTGTTGAATGCTTTGTCCTTCGTGGCTCTCGTCTTTGACATCGCGCATCCACTCTAGTATCCTCAAGTTCGTGTTCTCCCTCCTCTCTATCTCACTCTGTTCGAGATCCGTCTCTAATTCTGGTGTCGAGTAGTCTTCCTGCGGATAGTGCCCACGATCGTCAATGACCTGCCATTCCTCGGCTTCCAGTTCGCCTGCACTCAGTAGTTCCTCGCCCAATTTGTCTGGCTGTATCTTATCGATCAAGAAGTCATCCCCGTATCTGTTGTACCTCATGCCGGTCCGTTTACGATTGCCAGTCCTGGTTCCCGGTGGTATTGGTCGATCTGGCTCCATCCAGTTCGGCACCTCATCTTGCTCCGGGTCGTTCCAGTCTTCTTCTACAAACGATCCTGCTTCAGACTCCACCTCTATCTTTTCATTGTCGTCCAAACTCAAGTTCTCATTACCATCATTTTTCTCTCTGGTGCCTTTTTCATTCACTTCACACGCTGGCTCTACCACCAGGTACTCGAGACCCTCCATGTCCTTAGATAAGCACCAGTCCTCCGGGGACGGGACGTGAGGCTTCAGATTTTCATAATGTGCTGCTCGCCCAGTACTCAAGCGGTAGAACCGTCCTTGTTGATGTACTTCCGTTATCATGAATGGTCCCCTCCACTTCTTGAGTATTTTCTTTGTTCCCTTAGGCGGTATGACATTTTGGAAGACCCACACGTATTGGCCCACTTCATATGGCTTTGCTTGTAATATTTTTTCGTCATATTTTCTGCGTTGTCTCATTTGCGCTTGCGCCGTGTTCCTCCTGCATAGCTCGTTTAGCTCCTGTTGTCTTTTGATCGCTTCTTTCACGTATGCCTGAGGCGACGTCCTTTTCCCCTCGTATTCCGGGTAAAAGAATGTCAGAGGCATTGCTCTCTCCCTGCCCGTCAACATCATGAAAGGACTGATGCCCGTCGTTGAGTGCTGTGTCCTGTTGTAGGACCCTACTACCTGTGGCAGGTATTTATCCCAGTCCGTGATGTATCTTGAGCAGTACACCCTTAACATGTTGACCAGTGTCCTGTTCTGTCTCTCTACCAACCCATTGGTCTGTGGATGGTAGGTCGTCGAGTGTGCTTGAGCAATGTGCGATCTCCTCATCAATTCTTTTGTTCTTTTGTCAAGTCCCCCACAAAAGCTTTGCCGTTGTCCGACTGGAAAGTCATTGGACAACCATACCGCGATATCCAATGCGTTATCAGATGATCACATGTCTCCTCGGCCGAGGCTGTCTGGCACGGAACCGCTTCTGCCAACTTTGTGAAGTGATCTATTATAACCAGTATCTGGTTATATCCTGACTCCGCCATGCAGATTTTTTGATGGTCTATCTGCACCACTTCATTGAACTCTGAGCTCTCAACGGACTTGAGGGGAAACTTCATCTTCCTTGGGTCTTTTACCTGGAGACATGCCAGGCAGGCATTCACCCATTTCTCGCAAGCTTTTCTCATTCCTGGCCAATCAAACCTGTGAAGTATCCTTTGTTGTACTTTATCTATCCCCTGGTGGCCCATCTGGTCGTGCGATCTGAAAAGCACCTCCGTTTGATACAATTGTGGTAGTATGATGAGGTTGTGTTTGTGTAATATCTTCTCCTCATCTTTCCTCTTGCATGCTACCACCCCATCAGCTGTGTGGTAGAGTAAGTCTTTCTTTTCTTTGTAGAACTGGCTCAAGATCTTGTAGCTGTCTTCCTCGAGTTCCCCCTTCTCCTTGACCCCCGACTGGATCCATTTGGATAGGTTACTTGTCATTTTGTCATTCTTTTGGGCTCTTATTAGGTCTGACAGCCTATATCTCGCCTTGACATGCTCCTTTAGCGCCATGATCTGTCCATTCATCTCAACAGGGTTGTGGATGTCATCACTCAGCTTCACGCATATCATCCTTTTCACGATTTTCATATCATCTTCTGGCACCAGATTCGTTCTGACTTTTGAGTTGCATGATAGTTCCCTGAATGGCTTCCTTGAAACCGCAATTTTCTCAAGTTCTTCACCACCTCGTATATCCTGTATGTCCAGATTGTACGTTCCTGAAGATGGATCCGTCTGTAACTCCCTGTCGTGTTGCCTTATCTTCTCTTCCGCCAATACCATGCACAGACTGTCTTGGTTTTCGCTGCTCTCATCCGAGTCTTCATCCCATTGTTCACCGGACAATTTTCCTTCCTCGGTTTCTTCTTCCGTGAACATGGACCACTCCCCGGACTCTTGACCTAGTCCCAGGTGTTCAGTAACTTCTTTGAACGCCACTTTCTTTTTCCTAACCTTGGTCTGCTCCAGAATGTTTTCGGGGATTTTGTCAACTAGTGACCGCACGACATCTTTGCTGTCAGTGACGCTTCCTCTTGAGGAGTCAGTATTGTTCACTGTTTCTTTTCTCCGAAGTAGGTGACTTCCGGTTCCTCTTGACTCTTCTCTTGGATCACGGGCTTATCATCTGATAGTTTCTCGAGCAACCTCATTAAGTCATCATCTATCTGTGCAGTTCCCGCTTCTACCTGGTTAAGATCATAGCCTTTTGCCTTGAGCGTCTCCCTCACGATCTTCGACTTGAGTATTATCTCTATCGGAATCCTTCTGCTCTTCTTCAAGATGGTCTTTCCTGGAGGTTCTTTAGGTAATTCAGGATGATCTTCAATCGGTTTGCCTGATTTGTCCAGCCATCTCGTGAGTGGAAGACTGTCGTACGTTTCCTTGTCCATGAAGGAGAAGCCATCTTTGATTTCAGGTCTGTCTGCCTCTCTTTGCTCTTGTCTCTCATAGAACTCCGTCTTCTTACTCAAGCTGTCGGCATTCTGATGTTTATCTCGTGTTCTATGCTCAATTATCATGTTGTATCCGTCCAGGCGAACTATCCACCTCCCAATGTAACTTTGGTCCATTGAGTACGTTTTCAGCCAGCTCAGTGCTCTGTTGTCGACTCGCAACTTGAATGGCTCACTGCCCAGGTATGCCCTGTCTTTCTCGACAAAGGTAACCACCGCGAACATCTCTGCTTTCGGTGCTCCGTACTTCTTTTCCGTGTCACTTAGGACTTTGCTCCCGTACGCTATTGGTCTCAAGACTGTCTTCCCATTCCATTTTTGTTCTTGATGGAGAATTCCAGAAATCGCGACTACCGACGCATCCGTGTCCAGCACGTACATCCCTTTCTCAGTCGGCATACCCAGTACTGGTGCCTCACATAGCTCTTTCTTTATTCTCTGGAATGACTCTTCTGCTGCGTTGTTCCACGTGAACTTCTTGCCCTTGTGTCTCATTAATTGTTGCATCGGGTATACCTTGTCCGCATAGCCTTTGATGAACTCTCTATAATAGTTAGCGAAACCCAGGAAGCTCATCAACTGGTGTTCTGTCTTCGGTGATTTCCAGGTTAGGACTGCTTCCTCGGCGTCCGGATCAGGTCTGATGCCGTGCTTGTCTACCATCCTGCCCAAGTATTTTATTGAGTCCTTGAGTATCTCGCACTTTGATGGTTTACACTTTAGCCCCGACCTTTTCTCTCAATGAGGTCTTCTAGTGTGGGCGTCGCTATTACTACGTCATCCACGTAGCACATTACCAGATTGCCATACTTCTTCGTCACGCCTATCAGCGCGTGTGCCATCAACCGCTGAAACGTGGCTGTGGCATTGCAAAGTCCAAACGGCATCCGTTTCCATTGAAACAGACCCAACTCGCAGGCAAACCCTGTCTTGTCCCTGTCCTGCTTCCTTAGTGGTACCTGCCAAAAGGCCGAGCCTAAATCAAGAGTCGTAAAAAATTTTGCATCACCTAATTTCGAGAGGCTCTCATCAATCCTAGGTATGGGATAGGCATCCTTCACCGTGACGGAGTTCAGGTATCGAAAGTCACAACAAAACCTCAACTGGTCGCCTTTCTTTTTGGCCATCACTATTCCACACGCCCACGGTGACTTGGATGGTTCTATCATGTCATACTCTAGTAACGTCTCGATTTATTTTCTACACGCCTCCGATTTGTGTGGGGTCATGCGCCTCGCCCCCTCCCTGTGCGGTACCGCGTTCTCCTCAAGTTCTATTTCATGCTCAACGAAATTACAACACCCGATATCCGCTTTATGCCTCGAAAAAACTTCTTCGTTCCGCTCTAGTACGTCCTTGATGGCTTCGAGCTGTTCATCTGTCAGTTTGCCCCTCAAATGTTCAATCTCCGGCAGAACCGGTTTATCAGTTTGCATTTCATCTAGTGTGGGTCGCTCTGGAAAGTTCGAACAGCTCGACAGCCCATCGTCCGTTTCTGACTTAAGTGATTTAATAAGACCTGAAGAATCTTTTATTTTCTGCAATCGTCTCAAGATACAAAATTTGTCCCTGTGATTGGGACAATCAACAACTTCATTCTGTTTTGAGTTCTCAATTGTTTCATATCGAGTTTTAACCGGTAAAGCATATCCCAGTTTCCTCCCTCTCTGTATCGTGATCGGTATATCAGGGGTATTCAACAAGACACTGACGCAGAGGCCGCTCTTCGTTATCGAGAATGATCTTCCTAAAACAGCAGCACTTTGACTATTAGGATTCGGAACTATACACACTTGCTTGTTGTCACTTAGTTCATTGTAATTTTTCATCCTCAAGCCTACGATTGCCGCTTCATTCGCCTTTAACCTCACCCTCCTACTCAAGAATACCGGTGCTTTGGTTTCATTTGCCATTATTAAATTTACCGGTTTGATTGCGTACCTCCTATCCGGGTTCCGTATCCTGAACATTGCGTTATTTAGATCAATCGCTACATCGAAATTCCTGATGAAGTCTCTGCCCAAAACGAATTGGTCAGATTCATCTAGGTTTTCTACCACGAGAAAGCTCATCCACAGGTTACGTTCCCCCAAATTGAGGGCTATTATCGGCGTCCTGCCCAGCACCCGAAAGGCCCCTTTGTTTGCAGCTGACAGCCGTATTCTCGAGTCTATCAAATCACCTTTGTTAAAGCCCATTCGTTCCCAAGTTTTGATTGGTATGACGCTCAAGACTGCTCCCATATCAAGTAACCCACGTAACTGAGTCTTTTTGCCACTTATGTCTAGCACGTGCCCTGTCACATCTGCCTCCGTCCCGATGTGCATCGCATCTTCTTCAAGCATGGCGCAGTGTCCAATCGATCTCACTTTCAACTCTTCTTTCCCTACGTAGATTTGCCCAATTAGGTCTTCGTCACATGTTATCATTGTCTTGGTATAGATGTTGATTCCATCTATATTTAGCATCACCTCGTGTGGACCATAAGCTTCAGTATACCTGTTATCAACACGTACCGACTTGCTGCCCCCTCTCGTGAGTAGTGCTCTCAACGCTCTAGAAGTCGTTCGTGGGCTTATACAACTCAAGTAATCTGCGTACACGTCAATGTGCATTATTGTCTGGTCGCTCAGTTCGCTCAAGTTTCTGGTTACCTCGTGGCCGCCCACTGTGATTATCGACATTATTCTAGCCCCGATTTTCGATATGCCGAATGGCTTTCCCGTCACCATTTTTACAGTGTTACAATTCGCGGTCTTTGTCGAGCCCGGTACAGCCTCTGGTGTTGGCTTTGATCCAGTTAATGCTTCGTTGAAATTCTGTCTTTCGATCTCCTGCTTTAGTCGTTGCTCTATTTCTTTCGCAGCCAGATCCTGTTTCACCTTGGTAATTGCTTCCGTCGCCGCTTTCTCATAATTTATCTCTAGAGAGTTCCCGGCTGCGGATTCTATCGCACCATTAACATGTGTTACAGCTTTCACTGTTTTTGTCGGCAATTCCGTGCTTGGTGCTCCTAATTTCCTAGATTCAAACTCGTTTTGTCTATTCCGCTGATTCTGCACCGCCGCTAATGCCAACTTATGTTTGGGGTGACTCTGGTCCTTGACCGCTTCCCAGAACAAGGGACAATCCATTCTGAAGTGCCCTTCTTGGTTACAGAAGAAGCATCTCGCGCCTATCTTGATGATTAAGCCACTATAGTACTCGTGTTCCTCCATCTGGCTCATGTCCTCCTCATCCGGTGCGTATCCTAGACTCTTCATGCCTTGTTTGTATGTTGTGCAGTCAGCCACGTGGTGATCCGCCGACCCGCAGTTCGCGCATGATCTGCGCTTGTCCATGTCATCTCTAGGCTTGTACCATGACGACATCTGAGGTTGGCTTCCCCCTTGCGTGTTCCTGTTTTCTGAATATGAGTATTTCTTGGGCTTCATCAGCATGTATTCCCTTGATTTCTGTCTCATTTCTTCTGGGATCGGTGCGCTGTCTTTCGACAATGTGTAGTATGTTGCTAACATTGTTCGTAAGTCATCACTTTTTACCCCATCAATGAACTTCGAGGCAATGCTAAAGTTTCTTCTGTTTGTCGACTCCTCTGGGTCACTCCTTGTTCTCAAGCTCTCAAGGTCATCTAGGAACCGATCAATTGACTCATCGTCCCTCTGCCTTCTCTTTTCAAATCGCATCATCGCTTGGTGACCCTTCATGCCTGACCCGAATCGATTCAGCAATATTTCGAAGATTTTGTCCGCAGTATCGCGTTCTTCTTCTTTCTTTGCAACCACGCATTTTAATGCCGTGCCTTCCAAGTTGCTGAGTATGGCTGTGCATGCTTGTCTTTCATCATTTAAGTTATCTTGCTCTAGGTGTAATCTCATCACTTCCACCCAAGTGTCAATGCATCCATCGGAGTCGTCTTTGAATTCTTTTGGCTTATTGAAAGTTTTTCTTGATTTTCCGTCTCTCCTATCGCTCGAGTCAGTGTTCCTCGTGGCGAAGGCCTCTAGAGTCCTGTTCATCATCTCCCAAGTGCTTGCCCACGTCATGGCATCCGGACCTGCGTTGCTGTTAGCTGTTGAGTCCCCCGGACCACTCATTGTGTTTGATGTTCCATTTTTCATGATTGTTTTAGCAGCCGTTGGTGCTATGCTTACCGCATCCCGGTTTAAAGGCAACGGTGTCGATTGCCGTTTTTTCCTTTGTGGTTCCACAAAGTCAACTCTGGTGCCTTGCGTGCGATCCGCTGCCGGTCTTTCTTGTGAGGTAGAATTTCTCAAGATTGCATCCAATTTCGCCTGTATTGCACACGAACTTTCGGCATGATTCCTGTTCATTGTGTCCATTCTCTTTTCCAGGCTACCTAATTGGCTGTTGACATCATCATATCGGCTTTTCAACTGTTGCATATCTTTTTTGATGTTCTTATCTCGTTCTTCATTGGTGGCATCTACCTTGTCCGACATCTGCTGGAGTCTCTCGTCTGTCGCCTTAGCCAGGTTAAAATAACTATCCAGATACTCGTGTTTGTTGTATTTCAACTCTTTCCTTATTAAGTCTCTATCTTCCTCACTGTACTTTAGTTTTTTGTCGATCTGATTTAGTTTTGTCATCAGGTCGCCAAGCTCAAGAGTAGCTGTTTCATGATCAGCCGTTGTCTTGTTTTCGGCTGTCGCTTCCGTTCTGGCTTGTTCTTCCTTTAGGTCGGCTTCTGTCGCCTTCGTGCTCACTGTCCCAAATGTTCGTGCTCTTTCAGTTTTTGATTCTTCGGCCGTGTTGTCTCTCGATTTCATTCCGACCATTATCGCCAACTTTTCTGTAAAAGATGTCTTCTTTACTTGGGAGTCGTCTTTCACCGTTTCTCGGGTATTGCCTGTTGTGTCTTCCAACGCGTCTATCGGCGAAAACTCCACGGTTTTTGGATTTTGATCTTCCATATGGGGCATCGGTGTGGATTCAGTTGTCTTCTTCTCCACTTCATCTACGCTCTGGTCTGGTGTCTCTAGATCGATTTCAATTGTGGGCTCCGCCTGTTTGTCTTTAGCACCTTCTCTCGTCTTGTTCTCAGTACCACTCCTCGTGCTGACCATACTAACTGAAAAGTTATCTTTTGTCTTCTTTTGGCCCATTGATGTCGTTCCGCGCAGCGACGAGTTATATTTCGTGTTTGATCCAGTTGACCTTTTTTCGAGCACCGGTACCCTACTCCGTCTCATTATTTCTATTTGCAATTGCTCCTATTTACAATATTACTATATACACAATTCTATTCTAAGAATAAAATCTTTTGTGGAAAAATTATTAAAAGGAAATATACAACGTGATAAAAACGATGTTCCCAGTTCTCTTTCAAAACCTTTCGAGAAACTTTCTTTATTTGTGGTCACAACCGTACCGGGTTCCCACTAGTCTTGTTCTGTTTTAATTCTGTCTTAAAATACTTATTGTAAATTTACTCCAATTTTTATACCGTCCCAAGACTTCCAGTTACCGTCCCTACTCTTCTTTGTACCGTCCCAGGCTTCTTTCTACTGTCCCAAGAATGTTCGGTACTGTCCCAGTACTTTTTGTCAGTGTCCCAAGACCCCTGTCCCGAGAGTACTATCCCAGGACCACTGTCCCAAGACTGTCCCAAGACTACTGTCCCAAGACTAGTGTCCCAAGACTACTGTCCCAAGACTAGTGTCCCCAGGCTAGTGTCCCAAGACTACTGTCCCAAGACTACTGTCCCAAGGCTACGGTCCCAAGACTACTGTCCCAAGACTACTGTCCCAAGACTACTGTCCCAAGGCTACTGTCCCAAGGCTAGTGTCCCAAGACTACTGTCCCAAGACTAGTGTCCAAAGGCTACTATCCCAAGACCAGTGTCCCAAGGCTACTGTCCCAAGACTACTGTCCCAAGGCTACTGTCCCAAGACCACTGTCCCAAGACCACTGTCCCAGGACCACTTTCCCAAGACCACTGTCCCAAGACCACTGTCCCAAGACCACTGTCCCAAGACCACTGTCCCAGGACCACTGTCCCAAGGCCACTGTCCCAAGGCCACTGTCCCAAGACCACTGTCCCAAGACCACTGTCCCAAGACCACTGTCCCAAGACCACTATCCCAAGACCACTGTCCCAAGACTGTGCCGTCCCAAGACTGTACTGTCTCAAGGCTGTACTGTCCCAAGACTGTACCAAGACTGCTCTGGTCCAAGACTATCCCAGGACTGCACTGTCCCAAGACTTCTTTGGCACTGTCCCAAGCCCTCTCTGGTACTGTCCCATACTTCTTTGGCACTGTCCCAAGACAGTTAACAAGTGTTTGAGCGGTGGGACCTCCTTCTTCTTCGTTGTAGGGACTTCTTGATTCACTGTACCTTGTACCACCACTCAAGCTCTACGGTCCCAAGACTACTGTCCCAAGACTACTGTCCCAAGACTACTGTCCCAAGGCTACTGTCCCAAGGCTAGTGTCCCAAGACTACTGTCCCAAGACTAGTGTCCAAAGGCTACTATCCCAAGACCAGTGTCCCA